TATATATATAGGCCTATGTATATATGTACAGCAGCGTAGGTGGAATTCCCTGAAGTTTTCTGAAAATTCATTGTAAGAGTTAACTCTTTTTACCTGCTACTCCTAAAGGCCTATGTTAGTAATAAATACTAATGATAATTGGATTTGTAAGTATTTCAAGAGAGGCATATTCGCTCTCAGCAGCTGTTCTAAACTAATCAACAGAATTGGTGGGGACATAATATTAAACTCAATTGCAGTAGTAGATCCGGGAATTCGAAATATAGCAGGCCATGGAGGGATGTTTACACGGAGGATGAAGACCACCTCAGCCCCACCATGGTTGACGGAAGAAAATGTATGATTATAACACCTCTAGATGGCTGGAAATGGCACTCTCAGACTTTTAATATAATTACTGTAATATAATTCCATTTTTTTCCATTTTTTAAAAAATAATAAATAATAGGGGTTGGGCTGGCTTAAGTCCTCTTTTAAATACACCACTGAATTGAAATCAACACAGAAATCAATAATTACTCCTCTAAAAAGCGAATAATATAGAGGGCTCGCTGTTCGTTTTTTCTGCAAAATTAAGTTAGAAAATATTTTAAATTATTTTTAGGTCTACAGTATTTATGAATGGGCCCTTAATAGACCTGGGCCCCAGTGCTTTGCACTGGCTGCACTGCCCATAGCTACGCCACTGTATATGTATAAATACAAACATGATATAAAATACTGGATACTCATTGTTGTTGTTGTAATTGTTGTTGTTGTTGTTATTATTATTATTATTATTATTATTATTATTATTATTATTTTGATTAAATGTTATTCGGGCTACATGATACATGTTTTTATTTGTTTTTGTATGCCTTTTTTTCCAAATCCTTATGATTTAATCACTGTGTTTATTATAATTGTTATATTTGAATTATTCATATACCGTAAACCCTCGAATAGAAGCCCTGTTAGACTTCTTTTTTGCAAACATTGTATGGCATCTTTTCGAGACTACCTTTGAAAAGTAAAGAGGGGACTTCTTTTCAAAATTAATGCTGTAAATTTTGGGAATTGCTACTAAAACAATAAATTAGTCCTCTAGTAATGATTAAAAACAAGAATAAACATGGTAGAGGGGTACCATCTAGTTACCTGTATAAAACGTTGTTCTGGGACATTGTTTCCTCGTTTCGACTTTGGACATATTTGTTTGCAGCATTTTTGCATATCACCATTATGAGCAAAAGTTGTGTATATAATACCCATAGGGCAACATCGATCAACATCACAGCCAGTACCTTTAATGAATAAACATGGATATGGTATACATTTGAACTTGCTAAGTCGAATGCCTAACTCGAAAGTCGATTTTGCATACCCAATTGTGTTTTACATTAGTCAATGATCTGTAAGTCGAATTTTATCTAAGTCAAACAATTTTCAATGCCATTTTGGATTCGATTTAGGCAAATTGAATTGTAGTAACCATATTACAAATCAAGTCCAGTTTACACTTCAGTATGACGATAACGGTCAACGATAAGTTAAAAAGTAACTTGTTCATATAGAAAATAAAAGAAACTAGAGGGCACTTGAAGAGAGCATACCTTCGCCCACATCATAATTTTCCTCAGTATAAATTTCCCCCGCATTGTCCCCATAAAAAAATGAAAACAACAAAAAACAACAAAAAAACAAAACAAAAAAAACTAAAAAAAACAAAACAAAAAAAAACAAGTAGATTCCTTGGGATTTAAACCCGAGGCTGGTAGTGTGGAAAATGCTCTTCTAACCACTACACCAAACTGTTTTCACATATAGCCCTATCACTTTGAAATTAATGGTCATGTGAGCCCGTATGAGCACACACACATCACCTCTATACGGCAAAGACTTAAACAGTACAAGTTTTTTGATCATTGTGTCCCTGACCATTCAAAATTTAGTCACTTCCAGATATCTGGTAAAGGAACAATGTGGCCAAGTTTTACAAATTTCTTATAAAAACTGCTTCAAAAAATCGGGGTTTTTTTGTTGGTTGTGACCTTGACCTTTGACTCTGAACCTTCAAAGTTTAATCAGCTCTAGATCTTGGTAAAGGTGCATTGTGGCCAAGTTTGACGAATTTCTGGTAAAAACTATGGGCTGTAGGCAGTGGCGTAGAAAAGTATTTTTCATTGAGGGGCATGATTGAAAATTCTTGGAACTGACATAAAATTACTGATGTACACACCCTTCAGTGTGAAAATGTGGCTTGCTTTGCAGGCACATCTATCATCTAAGGAAAGAAGAGCTTAGATTGGTACCAGATAAAATAATTTTGTTATCAACATTAATACATTATGCTAATTCTCATCTTTGTAAGCGCATAAGACATTGCAAATTATTTCTGTGACAGTCTTTTGAAGTGTGTAGAGCTCCATTTTATCCCATACACAGTCAAAATATTGGGGGATGATACAATGGACCACCCCCCCCCATATTGTCAAATATTGGTGGGGATATATCCCCCATCCCCCCGGGATCTACACCTATGGCTGTAGGCAGACACATAAATAAATAAACAGACTGGGGAAAAACATAACCTCCTGCCAACTTCGTTGGTGGAGGTAATGAGATCTTTGGTCATGGAAAATTATTGTAGCCAAGTTTGATGAATTTTTTGATAAAAAATATAGGCTGTGAGTTGTTCACAACAAATAAGCCGACATACAAATAAATAACTAGTCTTAAATAAAAAAAACCAGGCAAAAACATAACCTCCTGCCAACTTCGTTGGCGGAGGTATTAAGAGACGTTTTCACACTAGCACGATTCGATACAGGGACGTATCCCCCTTTGTACACAGTGTTAAAATTTTAAAGCTTGTTCTTGAGCCAATACAAATTCTTTCCTGGGATCACTCAAAATGAATACAGTACTTCTAAAATATGTAAATATGCATCGTACACGTTATACATAGGCCTAATAGAACACATAGGCCTAAGCGTGATTTAAAAAAATCTTAAATCCATAAATTTCAGGCCAGGTCTTTTAAGATATAGAAATGCAATACTGTATGGTTCAGTTTCGTTTTTAAACAAGTTTTATTTAATAATACTAATACTAATAGTAAAAATAATAATAACAATGATGATGATGATGATCATCATCATGATAATGATGACGATAGTAATAATTGATAATAATATTAATAGCAATAAAAAGTGAAGAAAATTGTGCTAAATGCGAAAAAAAGTTGTGATTTGTTGATCATAATTATTATAGTATAGTTAAAGCTTAGTAAGATAGTTAGGCAAGTTGTCCTGGATATTAAGTAGATCAGCGTTCCGCAAACGATTTACTTCACAGCCTATTTATGATTCCAGGCACCAAGCCGCAGCCCAGCCGCGCCAGGGACCAACGTACCAAATCTTGGCAAGAACTTTTGATCATGAAGCCTCCATGTATATACAATATTTTGACATCATTATCTGTTCTCTAAGTGATAAGATTTTATTGTATACAGGGAATTCGCCCCCTGGACCCCGCCGGGTTTATACGTAATTCGCATAACGGCTCCCCCCCCCCCCCCCCCTTTTCAAAATCCTGGCTACGTCCCTGATTCGATAACGATTTATCTTGTAGGCCTATACGATAACAAAATAATTTCACAAATCAAATCAAATGACGTCATAATCATGAGAAAATGGTAAAGTCGTTTTTTACTACTACGATTATCGTATTTTATTTTCTATATGAACAATTGCTTTTTAGCTATTATCGATGATCGTTATAGTCATAGTGTAAACAGGCCTTAAGAAATCAACTCCAAATAAGGCATAAAATTGTAATAGCTACGAATGTAAACAGTATCGTATTTCTGTATAATTAGGCCTACCGTATGTCAAATAAAAAAAAATTGGCATTTATTGCTTGCTATTGTTTTTGTATGTATTACGCATCGAGTACCGGCGTTTTAAAATATCATCATAGATGGGCAGTGGCCATCAAATTGAAAATACCCCAAAATGATTTTTTTTGGGGCATCATCATTTATTACAAGCTGGCAATCAGGTGAATCCTTATCACGAGCTCTTGGCTCACACGGAACAGGCTGTTGCCACGCTGAAATTTGGATTCAAGTGCCATATTTTGCACGTTTTCACACAAAAATGGTATTTTGAAGTTAGTACCGTCACTGGAAAATGAAGTTTGAATATATTTGATATACGAAAGTCATTAAAACTATCGAATAATAGGCCTATATGATGACACGTTATGTTAATTTTGTGAACCAAATTTTTTTTAAATTCATTTTTTGTTATGACTGGCTAAATTTAATGATAGGCCATGTTGTATTAAATAGATACGAAAAGTAGGCCCTATAAGCTAACATCCTTTCGTCTGTCAGTATGAGGTCAGTTTTTGAAAGGTAGCTTAGTATTTTTTCTTATTTACTAAAACAAGCATTATTAAATTTAGCAAAGAAAAAAGTCATAAAATATGTTTTTGCTAATGTTTGGGTCACAAAATTAACATAATGTGTCACCATATACATCATTCTGAATAATTCTAATAGCTTTTGTGTGATACCAGATACCAAATGTATTCAAATTTAATCTTCCAGTGACGGACTTGCTTAATACAATTTTTGGTAAAAACGTGTAAAATGCCATTTAAAAAAAATCAAATTTGACCTTAAATCTAAAATTCAGCGTGGCAATAGCCCGTTCCGTGTGAGCCAAGAACTGGTGGTACCGGGGTTCACCTTGCCATGTTGTTATATATTAATAACTGTACATTTACGACAATTTGTTTGTAAATTATATAGCTGATGTTAGCCTCACAAAGATAAAAATCACTCAGTTGGTTCAAAAATAAGAAGCACCCGACAAACCCAAAACGTTCTTATAACGTTGTGGTTAGGAATGTCACAAAATAACGTTCACACAACGTTGTAAGGACGTTCAAACGTTGTGGGGTAGTGAAATTCTATGGTTCTACAAAATAACGTTCTTATCACCAAACTGTAACGTTATTATAGCGTTCTTATAACGTTGTATTGTTAGCTGCAGGGACGTATTTAGAGGGGGGCCGGCCTCTTTTAACTTTCCAGTTAAAAAAGTTAAAAGATAATATAAAACAACAAAATTGATCGCCCAAAAGGCCTCAGAGGTTATTTTCGGGCGTTTAGAACACATAAATTTCTCGAGGGTATGCCCCTGGACCGCCTAGGGTATTGTTATCTCAATCAGCCCCACTTTCGGCCCCTTCCTCCCCCACTCTCCCTTTTGGACATCTCTGTATTCGCCCCTGAGCTGGGCAAATAGGTAAATTTAAAAATTAGTATATAAATAATAAGAACGTTTAACGATAGAAGCTATTATGAAAAAAAATGTTAATATTGCCTTCAAAAACAAGGAGGAAGTTGGTTTCAAACACGAAATGTAAAAGGAATTCATTTGCTGGCGCAGAAGTTTTAGATCAGTATGTGAAAACGATGTTTCCAAAAATGGCATTTCTTAAACTGACGTTTACGGGCCATGATGTTGGCATGAAGGCTGATGATCAGTACCTTCAGGTACGGTAGTTTGGATTATCAATCTACAGGTCGGTGGTACAGGTCGGTGGTTCAAATCCCGAGTGCATTCTGCATGTGCATAATATTGGAGAAGGAACTTTACACGTTTTGTTTCTCTCCATATAGGTTAGACCGTATGTGTTAAATTAATTCTTTTACTTTTATTACAAATTAAAATACAATAAATTATAAAATCAGCTAATGTAATTTAATAATTGTAATAATAATTATAATAGCAGTAGTAAAATATGAAACTGAAATTATTGAATAATTTTAAGATTTATCATTAAGCAATATATTCTTCAAGATTTTTTAAAGCATTGGCTAAAATGAAAAACAACCTTTGAGGTTTTCGATTATATAACGAAATTCATTGAGCAAATGATCTGAATGTGCTCTATAAGGATATAACAGTATTTTTGGGCATTCCAAGTAGGAGTTAAATAACAAGCCCATAGCGTGGGGGGGGG